ATGTGAAGAATGTTTCTCCATGAAGAGAACCACAAAACTTTTGTGGTAATCCTCCACTTTTTCTCCCCTCCCGGAAGAGCATCAAAGTTCAGGCAATGGTGGAATGGTTGAGGGTGGAAAAGCTCTCATTCTCTGGCGTGATTTTTTGCAGTGTACGCCTCACGGCGGCCCCTTGACTTCAAGCCGGAAGAGTTTCGATGAATGCACTGGGATATAAATTTATGTTTGACCAAAAAGCTTTGGCACTTTGCATGGTTTGTCTTGGGGAGGGGGATGAACTTTCCCGCCAGTCTCTTCGCTATGTCGTCACAAACACTATGTATTGTATCGTGACGGTTCCGCCTCCAAAACCACCCACTTGACGTAAGAAATCATTCCCTCTGGCTGAGGGTCAACTACTCGCCAGACCTACATTCAACAATGAGCGCTGCTTCTGCCAGGAGATCCGAGGAATGACATGAAAAATTCCCTGGGTGTGCTGAGAGAATGGCGATGGGATTTGCTGGGATGATGTGGAGGGTGTGAGAGCTAGAGAAGCCCCTTGAATATTCCATGCATGAGGAATGTTGGCCAATTTTTTTATGGCAATTCATAAAGACCCAGGAGGACTTTGGTGTGGTTTTTCCGGGGTGCTCCGCCGCAACAAAATGACAATATTTGTCCCACTTTAATCTTCCCCAAAACCTCCGTGTGTGTGTGTGTGTGCCCACTTCCTTTTTTATGGACAATAGCCGACCCCCTCTTGTTGCAGCAATGCGGATATTTCCACCATACTTTCGGAGATGTCTCCCGGTATTACATCATACAGTTCTCTCTGGGCTGCACAGCCATAGCACTAAGTCCATTGCCATGGTGTACTTTGTTAATAAATTCGGGAGTTGCTGGTGAGAAATTGCGCAACAATTGTGGGGCGGAATGGTCCAAAGAGGTGGGAGGAATCACCTTCCAGGAAGGCGCACACTTCTTGCAATGGATGTCCCTTCGGGGTGGGTTTTGGCAAGATTGATCGAGTCGAGGAGTGGGTGTCAATATTTCTCGAGCGTGTCGAATGTCGCCTGTGCCAAATGGTCACATCATCCGGTGACTCACTTTTCATATGGACAGCACGAGTGGCCAGAGCAATAATCTATACACTCACCCCAATTTCCAAGCTCTCCAGTCCAGAGTTGAATGCATGCAGAGAGTGTGGAAAATCATTGGGCACTCGGAGAGGAAAATACGTAGGCAAATCGTTTTCTCAACGAATAATTGCAAAATTACCGCTTCGTATTCCAATGAACTCTACAATCTTTAGTATGCAATAAAAAACGGTTAAATTACCAATGAAAAACTTATCTACATGATATTGGGTGCAATTTATCAGCTCTGAAGTTGAGAAATTTTCTCTGTTCTTGATGTTTGTTGTAGCTTATTTCGACGCTAATCATAAGAATTTCAAGTGGCACAAAAGTTGAAAAATTAATTTAAATATGAAATGATTAAGTACTGTTTCATATTACACAATTTTCACAGTAAACATTTACATGAAGTATTATGTTGAGTGAATCTGATGATATGTCAACTTTCCCTTCAAATCCATCTTACCATTTAGCACTCTTCACCCTGTGGAAAATTCATATATACGATATATGTGAGTCGCAATATTTATCCCTACAATCGATGCTGAGTGTTTTTTCGCCTCTGCTCACCGCCTCCGATTTATTGGGACATTGAAAGGTTATTCGGTCACTTTATGCTGAATATTTATGATTTGGCATCCAATAAATTGTGCTACGCTGTGCGACGTGAACAATCACGATGAAATCCGTCTCTAAAGCATATATTTATATCATATATAATACATTGGGCGGTGGGATGTGATATTTTTCCTTGGCCCCATCCTTATTATTCCATCTGCGTGTGATGGCGGAGTGTTGATTATCGACTTCCATTGACGCGCTCCTCCCTCGCTCTCTCCCTGGAGTATCAGCATAAATCTGCCATTAGTATACAAGACGCCACCTTCCTTTGAATATCGCGCGCCGACCGACACCCCACCAAGACAGTGACGAGTGCATACCTCCGCGGAATCGCATTCCGATCACGTCGCCAAGGAGCCACTGTACCATTCTTTTGCCACCCTCCATTGGAGAGATTCACCTGCTTCTCGAGCACATCTTCCAGCTAAATGGGTGACGGATCATGGAGAGGAATGCTGGGTGCAAAGATGCATTTTGCACATCTTCATTCACACCACCATTATTCAATGTACTGTCACAGGATAGAGCGGATTTCCGCCAACCGAGGGGTGAACAACAGTATGACAATGGCAGATTATGCTAAGCATTTAGAGACAATGAAAAAAGACACGCAAGAGCAAATCAACATTAGTCGAATCGTGGCCTTATTTGAGCTTTAAATAAATTGTGTGTGCTTCTCACCCCCCGAATGTCACCTTTAACGAAGCTTCCCAGTGTGATCTTCTTGACCTCAAAATGAGAGGGAGTGTCAATTTATCTTCCCTGAATTTTCCAATCATGCCATTCAGTGCGAGAAGCCAGAAAAAGATATGAGAGAGCACGCGAAAAATGATGTCCCCAGAGAATCTCCCTCTCTTTTTTGCCACTTACAATCAAAATTTATGGATAATTATCAATAAAATGACTGCTACATGAGACACTTATCTCAACCACTCTCTGGGCGATGGTGTGTCTCCTGAGGGAGTGCCTTTGTTCGTCACCATGCGAAAATTGATAGATATTCTACGTGAGGAAAATTCAATGCTGTCGATGGCAGATAATATTAATGCAATTTCTTGCACATGTTGAATACATATTTCCACTTTCGCCCTCTTCAGCTTCACACCCCGGGCCGGAAGGCATCCCTCAGAGGTGGGAAGACAATTTATACTGTCCGCTGGAGACACGTTTTTCGCCTCATCTTGCGATTTTCCATTTACAAATGCTACACTTTAGTAACTAGTGTTTCATGTAACTTTAATTCAAGCGAATCAGGTCTTATGTAATGCAATTTTCACGTAAATGTTACATACATTTAACTGATCGTGTGCACCTGCTTCGGCGGGACTAAAATGGATTCACATTAAAATTTTTCCCTTTCACTTTGTCAAGCGTGTGTTCCACATAAGTTGAGAAGTGAATAGACAGGGTTGAGAGCCGGGGTGTGAGTGCAAATGGCAAAGTCGAAATGCGAGAGAGCGAGAAATGGTGTGAAAAACATGAAAATTCTCGCTTTTAGTCAATTCCTCCCCATTCGACTTTTGGGGGTGCGCATCACACCCAAAGAAAGAAGTGTAATGCCATTGAGATCCGTTGGAGCTTCAAAAAGTGTGAAAGCATAAATGTTTGCATTTCCAATGAAATGAATGTAAATATTTCTTTTTTGATTAAATGTGTACACACACGAAGGATCCTGTCGTTGGGCGAATGCCTCAATAAGGCGATGAAAGCCAGCGACAAAGGAGTGAAGAGGAAACTCATGTGGCACAGTTTTATGCATTAGAGCGTCCCCTCTCATCTTCCCATATATGTATATAATTTCCGCGTGTGTATGTGTGAAATGATAACAGGAAAGTCATTCAAAATATAAAACGAATTTGAATAAATTTCATATTTACACTCGTGCTCTTTCAGGGGCGCGGCAAAATGTGTCAACAAGACAATTTTCCAGCGAAATGACGAGGACTCCCATACTCGCAGTGTCTCTTTTCCGTGGGAGAGAAATTTAATATTTGCTCATCCAGTCATGCTGTCGATGATTTCTCGCAATCAGGAGGATCAAAAAGACCGTCATCTTTTCCACTGCTGAAGATGTGTCACCTTTTCACCCAGGATGGCGCCATGCTTTGAGCAATTTTCCACTTCGCACCTGAACTTTTTCGGGGGTTCAATTGAAAATTCATTTTCAGGGCGGTTGTTCTCCACACAGAGTGTCTTGCACAGGTTTTACGAGCACGAAAGGCTCATGAATTTCAGGAAAATGCGTGGCTGAGCAGAATTCTCTGATCCACCCCACGACTGCTGGTTCATTGGCAAAGGAATCACGTCGTGTTGAGTGAATTAAAAAATCTATGCTGAAAGACGTTGCATCTTTTCGATTTTGCAATTTCTCAGAATTATATATTTTCTTACCACACAGCAAAGAAAATGTAGCCCAGATAGTTTTTCTCAGTCACAAAATGTCGTGCTTTGCGGTCTTGATGTCACTTAATTCTTGGGTGATTTTACTGGCAACTGACCAAAAAATTGCTTTCGATTCTCAGCAGGAGTTTCCCTAAGAAAAATCATGGTTCAAATACACCCTCGGGGCTCGTCCACGATGCGCCCCAAGAGGCCGAATGGATGGATATTGAAGAAGACAAGGGTTGCATAATTGGTCATTTTGGAGCGCGAAGGGTATTGGAAAATACTTGGTGAGCCACAGGTGAGAACACAAATTTTCCTCCCTCGCTCATAAAGTGGGAGACCTTTGGAAAATTTCACCCTTTGCTGGAGTTTGGGGATGGTTTTCTGGGTCGAGGAGGCGCCTGGTGAGCTAGGCTTGTTGAATACCAAATGTGCCAGTGCAACTTTGGCTTTTCGGGCAAACTTTTCCATGGGGGGGAACGCGGAGGATGAGTTGAATTGTGGTTTTATCGTGGATGCGCAAAACACGATGTTGCTCTTTGGTATTCTTGGGTCGGGGAGAGATGAGGCAGCAGGCCTGGAAAGGGGGTGTGTTTCGAGAGGGTGCTGCACAATCCTCATTTCTCGCCCCGAGAGTGGATTTGGTGTTTCTATTAAAAATTCTAATACACGATATTTTGTCGTTAAATTAAAATCTTCCCATTTTGCGCCTTTTACGGGGGCGGAGGGGCGCAATTTATGTGTCTTATTATTTTGGCATGTCAAGAAAATTGCGAGTGACGCTAAAATGGAAATTATTACGAGCCGAAAAGTCGAGGGCTTTCATTGCTGAATTGCAGCTTTCTGGTTGGCTGAAGGAAAGAAGGAATATTTCAATTAAAAATATGCTTTATTGCTTTCAGAGGCTATTAATATTGTTGCCTTACAGAACTTAATTGTAAATATTATCCTTTTTTACCTTCTATCTCCATTTTCAGTGTCTGTCATTTTCGCGCTTTTCTCTCTTCCTTCAACTGCCTTTTAAACACTAGCACAAGTGATTAAATATAAGTGTTATTTCCTCCATTAATATACATATAAATAGGTTTTTCATCATCTCATTTTTTATATCTGGCCACCTTTTTTCGGGTAACTTCTTTTTCTCTTTCTACACGAAGCCAAAAAATTATTACGTATATTTAAAATGTAATGCAATTAAAAGTTATCTCATTTCATTATCATTTCTTGGTAGCTTTTCTTTTTTAATTGTATAATATGTCATATATTTATGTATAATAATACAATGTTTTTTTTTTCTCTTTATATGGAAAAAGCCATCTAATTTTATTTCCTTCACGCTCTCTTCTCTCACTTGTAATATATCGTAAATATTATACTGTAAATTTCTATCACTATCAATAAAGATACGAAATGTGACCACTTTGACTACATCATTTTCTAATTAATGTTATTCCTTTCATTTCATATTTCTGTTTTCTTCGCCGAGAAAATGATTGCGTGGGCCAAAGTAATTTGTTTCTGTTCTTCACAAATATCATTTTCCTCAGTAATATAAGACATTATTAAAAATATGTCTATATGAGTAAATATATGTATATATAATTTTGGTCTTCCTTTAATATAATTTCAATCAAAAAATTCCTAGTTTTCTCTAACTACATATCGATATTTCATTCAAGAATTACATTTCTGTGTATCTTGCTAAATCTGTCTTTTCTGCTTTTGCTCTTTTCACTAAGTAAATATGTATAATGTTAGTGGTAAAATTTTCCTTCTCGTCTTCTCTATTCCATTCAAGATCTAATAGAAAGTATCTTTCATTGTTAAAATTGAAGAAGTAGGAATTAGTATCTTGTCAGTAAATAGGTAATTATTTAGTTAGTATAGTATTGAATGGTTTGATATTTGTTCTCTTAAAAAGGACTTCGTCAAAAATGGCTTTTGGAAATCTGAGCATTATAATTGATATTAGGATTAAATATTTTTGTTGTTTAGAGTGAATTTTGTTATTTCTTTATACATTTTCTACATAGACCTCTTGTTATGTTAGTTAATTTCAAGGGGGATGCTTTTCAAAAGGTAAATATATAAGTTGTATATTTAAGATTAAATAGATTTTTTCATAATTTTTCTCTTCTTACTCTTCAAGTTATTCTTTTTAAATCGAAAAAATTGTATTGCTTCAAAGTTATCTTTTCATCATCTTTTTTTCTTGAGAATTTTGAGTGATTTTTTTTTCACCATAAATAATGTATTTTTTTGTCATATACAATTTGTCTTTTTTGTCTAAACTCCAGAAATGATTAAATCGTTGTATGTTTTAAATTCGAACGGTTTTTTACATATCATTTTTATGAGTACTTTGTGTCGTTTTACCTTTCATTTTCTCCACGGTTGTTTTTTGGGCTGGGAGTAATTAGAGAAAAATAATATTGCACAGATTCACTTTTATGAGATTCAACTTTTTTTTCAAGCTATATGTGCAGGGATAGAAAAACATGTGCATACTAGCGCTAGAGTCCATTAAAATCAGTGTGTTTTGCATGTAGTGTTTGCACCACATTTCAAATTATACGCCAAAATTCTATATTTGATGCTTGTTTTATAATTCAACAGTTGTTCCTCTGCTAATTGGAATAAAATGCTATGTGGATGCGGTATGATTGGAGTACCAGCACCCCTTTTTGCCCTGGCATCAACGCCATATTTGGTTGAATGTTGCTTCAGCTATAATTGTGTCTATTCTCCAAATTATGTAGTTTTACATCCGGTAGAGTCAGTGTGCGTTGGGGCATGAATATTTACTCAGGGAAAGACGGAATTTTACAAGTCAAAATTCCACTTTGAATCCATGAAAATTTTAGTGGTCTTTTTGAAATCAAATATCACTCTCAAAATAATTTTATTATTTTAACATATTCATAATGGTCTCAAAATAAGCATCAAGTCGTCTAGAAGACAATCAGATTCGGCTTCATTTGAAAATTTCCGCAAGAATTACAAAATGTTGCACAGTAAATCATAATTATTGGGAGCTGCCGCGCAAATAAGTATATTTTATACTTGAAATTTTGGTTGGTACCTAGGATATATGTATTAACTACATACATCTGTATGACAATGCGAAAGTGTCAGAACAAGTCTTCCAATTGCGTTTTTCCCTCGGTTATTCTATTCTGCTATAGCGGCTATAAAGTTGCCAACGCACACCGAATTTTCCCGGTCAAGTTGTGTGTTGCGAATTTCATGCAATTAAAAGTAAAAACTTTTGTGCACTGGCATCAGATTTAAATATCTGCTGACATGTTGCGAAAATTGAGTTAATCATAATTTTTTCTCCTATTCTCGGACACTTTTTGGCGCCAAAGCACATAGTTTTATGCGCTGGCATGAAAAAATCATCATCCACGTAAATTTTTAATGCCATTTTCTTTCTTGTTTTCCCATGGCTTTTTCACCGTGCGCCAGTTCAATCATGCATACATTTTTTCACAAGATATGGTGCTTTAATGAAACTGGACTGCATTCGAGATATTTTTTCTCATCCACTCTGAGCCATAAAGTCAGATTAAATTTCACATTAATCTTCATATTAATTTCCTTCTCGAATCTAATGTCAGATGGTAAAGGATAGGAAAAGAGAAAAAAATAAATTTACCACTCCTTTTCTCGCATCTATTTCATCTTTCTCATCCTCTCACATTCTCTATAAGTATTGTCTTGCTGATATGTATTTTAATTATCTGTAATTATATTGTTTTCTCCACTTGCTAGATTAAATTTCTTTCCATAACCGCTCAGGAAAATCTCAAAGAATTTCCCCAACATTCTGCAGCATGTTTCGAGCCTTGGTGTGGGAAAGCACATGAAAAAGAACGAGCCTCATTAGTGGGAGTGCGAAGAGGGCGGAAAGGCGAGAGAGAGCTTAATTTCGGGGCTGAATTAAAATTACACACAATAATTATTAAAATATGCGTCTCACTGAACTATTCAATCACGCGAGGAGGGCAAAAAAGCACAATAATTCACCAAATGAGTAATTCACTTGTGTGCTCGACTCGAATAATGAGTGTCAAGTCACGTGAAAATAAACCAAATTATTATGTATTCACCCCCTCGTTGGAAAAATCCGCACAAGAGGTGGACAAGAAGGTGTGGGTTTAATTGAAAAATACAGTGTGTGCCAATGGGATCGCACCTGGAAGTTATCCCTGAAGAAATTAATGAGATTTTAGATTGCAAAATCAGATGGTTTCAAATGTGCGCCTCAAATTAATTTGCTACTTTTGTATTCACTCCCCAATCTTCAACTCCTTCGGGACGCTGAAAAAATCATTAAATTCGCTCTTTAATTGAGACTGAATTAATTAGGAGACGTTAATCGATGACTCTCGGCTTCGTGCATTTTTCCCCCGTTAGGAAATTCATTTCTTATCAGTTCTTCGCACTACATTAAACTTTTTCGATATCGACATGTAAAAGTTGTTTCCGTTTCGATTGCTGCGCAACCCTCTGACAAGTTTCTCCTCAGCGGGTTGCTAACTACACTGTTTTAAATCAAAATATTGCCGTTCAATTAGTGAAATAATTGCTGAATCAATTGTTTCTTGATTTTGTTGAAAAACCCACAGAATAAAAATGTGATTTCTATACATTCTTTTTTAATAATAAAAAGTTCTCAATACTGTTCAAACTTTAATTTCAAGTTTAATGTCTTGCGAAGCAACGCTGATGATATGTACCTTAAGGAAGAGTGGTGGAAAATGATTTTTACCCCCAATTCCGTGAAAATTACCCACCTCGGTAAAAAATTAATCTGTGTACAGCTGAAATGTTCATATAATGAATTGAGCAATTAATGAGAAAGTCGCTCACAACTGATCTGTCATTAATCCAAATGGAAGTTGATGTATTTTTGATACATTTGACCACCCCTTTTTCGGGGTGGAGTTGGCTCGACGTCCGTCGAGGGTGAGCGTGGCCGATGGAGAGGGACGAGGCGGTGTGACGGGGTGGCGCCGAGATCGATTGGTGTGATACCATATTAGGCCAATAAATGCATCAAGCACAAAGTCGATGCGGTCCACAACAAAATGTTATGTGGCATGTTGAATTTCACTTGCCACCCCTTTCCAGGCCACATTAAATTTCCTCGTTGCTCAAATAGATAAACATTTTTAAATTTCCGGCGTGTCCTGTCCATTGAAATACAAATTTGACGTGCTGCTCTCTCGCCTATCGTATACCCGAAAAAAACACAGGGAGATGCTCAGAAGCGCGTGGGTGTTGACGAGTAGTTTGGGAAATAGAAGAGTGCTCTCAAAGTGCACAATAAATCCTCCTAAATGTGTTCCTACTTATTCGTTGCACAAGAATCTCTCATTTTTCACTACGATTTAAGCCTTTTCCGTTTTTCTAGAGCAAAAAATTCCTCATACTGTTGCCGAGTGTGTTAGACCCATCATGGAAAATCCTCCACCTAATATCAAAGCTATATCAAATCTATGATTAATAATGTGCATAAGAAAAATGTTCTGTTTTCTACCAAAAAGCGCACGCAATCTTCCCTAAAACTCCTAAAGCCTAGATTTTGTGTTGTCTTCACCTCTTTTTCTCCCACTATATTGTTGATCTAAATCTCTTCAATTTTTCGCTAATATTTTAAAAGTTGTCCATCTTTTCTCTTTTGCTCTCCTATTCGTCATCTACAAAATATATTATTATATAAAGAGTAAAATTTGAATGAATGCTCAATTTTATTTACACTTTACCATTTCACTAAATTGTCTCTCACTTTTTTTTAAACCTCTCTTGTCAAATGCAAAAATATAAGTAAATGTACTACAAAAGTGGTATTGCTCATATTTTTAATCTCTCTAAATTTATATCTCCTCATATTTTCCGAACTCGTGAAATCATGTTAAAATTTATATAATTTCTGGGGTTGTAAAATAACGCAGGATTTTTTGGATCCAAAGGCCTAAGCACAATTCACCGATAACGTTGCCTCATAAATTTATTTGAAGATTTTATCGACGGATGAGTTTCTCTTAAAGATACAGTGGTGGCCATGCAAATTGATCCACTACGGTTGTATATATTAATCTACACACCAAAATCTTATAAACCAATTTCAGATGAATTGAAATTAAGACAATGTGTGGTCGGGCAGTCCTTGCGGTCAGTGCACACTTTTGGCCAGCACTTGAAGCTGTCTGAAAGCGTGCACTTTCCTGGGGCATCTTTCACTTCCGGCTCTGAGCCACAAGTTATGTTCCGACTTCTTGGCTGTGATATTTTGCTAGGCGACAATCTAAGACACAATTTCAGAGGTGTCATATATGTAGCAACGTGAACGGTGAACTGCAAATTGGGCTCAACGCCATTTCTCTATCTCGCGAGAACAGAGATTATCTGCAATATTGGATTTATATGAGGTTTTATGTGACTATAATCAACTCATCTTCGGAATCATCGTCATCGTCATGTGTTCGGCCCTCGGCGGCGGCGTCGTCCTTGAAGCACGCCGACTCGAGGTGCTTGTTGAGATAGGACTTGAGCGCGAAGGTCTTGTGGCAGCGCGAGCACTCGAAGTTCTTGTCCGCGGAGTGCGTCTGCATGTGGGCGCGCAGGTTGGAGCGGTCGGCGAAGGCCTTGCCGCAGTGCGCGCAGCCGTAGGGCTTCTCGCCGGTGTGGGAGCGCAGGTGGCCCTGCAGGAGCCACGGCCGCGAGAAGAGCTTGCCGCACACGCCGCAGCTGTGGCTCAGCTTGTGCGTGAGCACGTGCATGGCCAGCGCCGGCATGGACACGTACGCCTTGCCGCACGTGTGGCACTTCTTCGCCGACTGCGAGTCCAGGCTGCGATGGGTCTGCTTGTGGCGTGACAGATTGCTGGACGTCGCGTACTGCTTCCCACACTCCGGGCATCGGTACTTGTTTTTCCGGGAGCCCTCTGACACTTCTACGGCGGCACTGCGAGCGGCCTCCCGCCGCTTGTTCTTCGACCGCCCGTCGCTGACCATCAGATCGTCATATGTGTAGACTTCGGAGGTGGCCTTGCGGCCACGGAAGCTGACTGAGGAGGAATCTGAAGAGGCGCCCAGTTCGGCGTCTGAGCTGTGCTCTGACGTGGGCGGCGTGAGTGGGGCCACAGTCTGGGCCGGCAATTCGTAGCACGGCACGATTACGGGGACGGGTGACGTGGGCCGCGGCGACGCTGGTTGAGTCATGCTGGCCGTGATCTCGTGCATGATGGGCGACGTGGGGTGGAAGCTGGGGTCGGGATGGAGGATTGTGACCACGCATGGGGCAGGCAAGGGTGGTAGACTCTGTGATAGTGACAGGAGATCGTGCGCTGCCTCGGTCTCCTCAATGCTGCGATCCTTGAATAGGGAACTCACCTCGGGAGTCGCGGCGACTCGCATAGGTGGCGTGTACACCACCACTGACGTGGGGATGGACTGGTGTCTCGGTGTGGCTGTTATGACAGTGACACTGCGATCTGTTCGACCGCGCATGGACTCCACCGAGGATAGGCCTGCAACGGAAGAATACAGAAGTCATGAATGTGGGAACAAAAATTGGACAAGATTTAAGCATTGTTTGAATGTGAAAATCTCTAATTTAAAGACGTCAAAAACACTTTCATTTTAACACACTCAAGTCCAGTGAAGCTCCACTGAAAATTCTCCCTGACAAGAACGTAATTTCAAGAGTTTCAGAGTTGGGGTAGTTTGAAGCCTTGAGTAGCGTCTCACACCCAATTTCTGCAGTCTCAAGGTGGAGAGTGTGAATTATGGCGGGACGTAATTCTCATTTTTCTCCTCTGCAATGATATTCTTTAATTTTTCACGGAAATTACAAAACATTTGCATATTTATGGCGGCATCGCGTCGTGGAAACATTTTAATCTACTTTAATGTGTTTAATATTGATGAATATGTGCTCACCTCGGGCGGAAATTCTCTCCCCCGACCAAAACTTTTTTTTCCACCGCGAGGGACGCTTCTGTGCGTCTTCCGAGTGGGTGTTGTGGGTGGCGTGCATATTTCTTTTATCTTAAGCAATTCTGCGGGCCTCATGGCAAGTGCCGTGTATGAAATAATATATTCCTTTGGCGGAGGGTGAGAACAAATAGGAATGAAATTTCCATTTTATTCCCACTCTTTGTGGGGGTGGAAATCTCTCGCGGCATGCTTGGAAAATTCCCAGATTCTTCCTTTTTTCACCTCAAGGAATTAACAGCACTTCAATCGCGCTGTATCGACAAATTTGGATTATGTTCCAGAGGATGGGGAAACGTGACAGTGTCTCAAAGACATACTTTCAGTGTGTCTGGACAGATTTTCCTCCCACTAAATCACACCCAAGAATAATTTGTATGAGCTTTTTGCAAGCTCCAACAACTCTTCGACGATAAAGGACGTCAAGACGGCGGGCAACAATTGTGCAATAAGAAAATCTGGCTAGCATCCTTTATGGGAGGACCTCTCAAAAATTTGTACACATATAAATCAGGTTGATTTATTGTTCAATTCTGATAACTTATGTGTCGTGGCACATAAAAATCAAATAACTTTTGCAAAAGTTCAGAGTGGCGGCGAGAAAAAAATGCTGGATGAGTGCTTCCAGAACTTTTTCCACCCTCTCGACTTCTTCATACCAGAGAGGGAAATTTGATAAAAGTTTGTATAGTTTCATTTCTTGGGAAAAGATGGTTTGATTTTAATATCTTTTTCATACAACTCCGTCTCGTGACTTTTTCCATCGGCTCGGCATCGATTTAAGAAGCACCTTTTTTTTGTTTTATCGCACATGAACACTCAAAATACCTCGCGCAATGTTCACAGTACAATAATAACATGACTTCAATCCCATGTCCAAGCATTCACACACACATCCATCCAATTCACATGGCAATAATGTGTGCAATTATCTGTTGTATCCCATCAGGAATGCTCCAAGAATTTCCCAAATGACTGCTTGGACGATTTTCCATTCCTCCCCATTCGAGATACCATGATTGCATCACTTTTGTCGGGCGGTGAAGGGGCGCAAAATGAATTAAGTGGCACTGGGTTGGGGAGACATAAGACCATCAAGACTTGGCGAAGAATTCAATGGATTTATATGTCACAGGAGACTAATAAAAGTGGATGTTGCAATTTTATTTCTGAGCTACGGAGGAAAAAAGACTCAGCTGACCTATCCAGGGAAGAATCTCGTGAAATGTCTTTTTATTGTGCAGAAGTGTAATTTCAAACGGTGATTTCTCATATTGTTGGAAAAAGGGGGGCATTCAGAAATGCTTCATTGCGTGATAATTCATCGTCTTGTCTATGGAAAAACAATGTGCGCGCTGTGACTCAATCTGGGAAGATGAAAGCTGTGCGAAAGATAAAAAATGAAGAATTTAAATTGATTTCCCAGGTGAATGGCAGATTTTTCAATCCATCTCCATCCACAGCGATTGTGAGGGGGTGAAGTGAGAGATATGGAGAAACAGGTGGTCTCACAGTGACGATGAAATCCCAGCCTGAGGGTCGGTGTGCATTAATTATCATGGCTGGAAAAACACGCTTTACGCTGGGAAAACTTCAATAAGTGTATTTGCTTTGTGTGACGAAGCGCGGACGATAAGTTTTCACGTTGTTTTGTCGTTTTGTCCGTTTGTCTGGGGGCTCACAGTTTTTCCTCTCGCTCTGTGGTGGAATTTTTCGAGGTTGGGAGCATATTTTAATTTTTTTTTTCACTCTCCGCCCCCCTTTTGTGGAGCGCCCACGCCCAACCCCATGAGTAAACTACAAAGCCACAAACTTGGCGACGGACTGGAGGAAAGTGCCAACAATGGCAAATGTACAACAAGTTGTTGAAAAGTGAGGACAAGGCACTTCTCACATTTTTTCCCTTGTTCTCTATCCACTACATTTTTTTTCAAACCACCCACCCTCAAGTCTCTGACACGACAACTCGGGTGTACATTTTTAATCACAAACACTGACATTAATTAATTTTTATTTAGAGAAAGAGCTTTTTTCCACGCGGTTTTGCCTTCACTTTACTGCCTGTGCCACCCTTATCTCTGGCTATGGATTAGCATGGCTGTATTTTCACAAGACACATCCTGAGTGCGGTTGAGCTTTATTTATTTAATTTTATTTGACGAGAATTAATTTTTAAATATGCACGCGTTCTGAGGAAAAATTGAGTGGGAAATTATGAGAAACATTTCATTATATTTCATCACTGGAAGTTATAAAATATTCCAGAAACGAGAATTTAGGATGAATTCTGTGTTTTGTGTGCAAATTGGAAAGCTGATCGTCACATTAGACTATATTTTAGCCATTATACAGAAAAGCACTCCTCTTGATTACACTTTAGTTTGCAAAACTAGACTTTTTTTCGATTTAACAGCGCAATCTCAATAAAGTTGGTATAAATGTTTATTTGAGCTATATTTGCAAAATTCCTGAATGGTCACTCGAGGCAATGCAAGTTGAAGTGCGATATTGATTGATCAACTTAATTGAATGACTCTAATTATCAATAAACAGTGTGAATAAATGAGCAAATTAATTCAATTTTTGCACTATATTCCACAGCAAATATGCTCATTAAAATGCCACTATTTCCATCCTGGGACTTTTTAATTGCCACTTGAGTCATGCTAAATCAGGCACTTTCCGCATGGTGACCTAGAAAGGAAGTTCCAAGAGATTGGGATGAATGATAGAACGTCTACGGCATGGTGTAATCCTTTTGCACGCGCAAATCAACAATAAACCTTCGTTGGTGCGGGCCTCAAGGGGTGAAAATGATCTCCACATTGAAGTCAAATGGATGTGGGGGTGGGAAAACAAAAGGAAAGCCCACGATGGAAATCTATTAATATTACTTCAACGCTGAACGCGGCGAGTTTCTTCCGATGTGTGCGCACCGCACACCATTCAGATTATCTCAACGCAAAAGATTCATTAAACAGGTGCCCTTTTATTCAATCACACAGCACACTCACACCCACAATCGGTGGGTTGTCCGCCAGAAAAAAAGCACACCTTAAGCGCGTGAGGATTGAGCCGCAGAGCGGGAGGAAACATGGAAATTGGTTTCTTTTTCGTCCGCCTGGCGTGAAGCACGCAATGTGCAAGAGAAAAGTATGTTTTTTATTATTTCGATTAACATAAATATGAAAATTATCATTTGTCCAAATTACACAGACCCACACATACACTGAATTTCTGGGGAAATGCCTCAAATTAATTCGTTCGGAGAGACTTTTTCCTATGCTGTTGTTCTTACCACAATCATTCATGCTCACGAAGCAACAAGGATTTTATGTCTAGCATTTTTTCGATTGGTTTCGACTGAGTTCTTATCAATTCCGTACACAGAATAATACATGTTTTGTCTCAATGCCACATAAGGGTGCATTAGCAGGAATCAAAATGAAAGATAAAGTAATCCAATCACACTCCCTCTGCGTTTGATTCAAGCCAGATTCTGCGAACCCCTCCATTTGCCGTATCAAGTATCACAAAAATTATCTCGTACGCCATCTCGGTGATTTCCCAACCCCGTGCCATAAATCAAATTACAAACAACAGCTCTATCTTCATCTCGATAGAATTGCCTCCAATTTCATCCCGCGCGCTGCCTTTTTGCTCAGCAAATCTCGTTTTTTTCCCGTACATGTGTGTGCAATGTGTCGGGATTCATTAGTGGGAATAAATTTATGAGGGTGCCACTGACGACTGGAATGCTGCAACTTTTCCATCAATGCGGAATTCCACACCCTCCGCGTGTTCTCTTTATTTTCATCTCATCCCGCTTTCGTGGTTTCCGGACTGTTGCTCCCGTTCAGTTTCTATAGTCAGTCCTTTGGCTGTTGCCATGAATTCAATGAAGGACTCTCGTCCATTCAAAGGACTCATCTCGTTCTTTTTTTTCGCTCCTGTGATGGTCGCAAATCGCGAGGGTGTCTTTTGATCCTCAACTGCGTGGGAGATTTTTGCAAAAAGCTCCCCCGTTCGCATGTTCTCCTCGTGTGGGCTGCATTTTTAATTAAAAATCCTCCAGCCCAAAAGAAGCCAAACCCACACTGCAGAAGGGGTTGGTGAAAAGCCTGGCCAAAGTGACTTTTTCATGTCTCAATTGTGGTTGCGATTGGGGGTAGTTTTTTCGCGTGGAGCAATTCACGCCTGAGCAAACGAAGGAGGGAAGAGGACAGGCAATTCTTCGAGGCATAAATTCCATGTTATTCACCCAGCGAATGTGGTGAGTTGTGTGGCAATTGGCAAGAGTACCACGAGAGGGTGCTTATGAATTTTTCCAAACGTATTATTATTGCCCACGATCGTGTACAATTGCCACCTTCCTCAGTTTTTCTGTGTTGAAACATTTCCCTATGCGAGGCTTAATTATGCGACAGCCCGCAACCAACATGTGGCCACTCCAAAAATGGATGAAACACGCTCAGGAGCAAACTTCTTCGACCATACTTAATGGAATTATTATTTATTGTATTGCTGCTCATTT